ACCTTGTCTGTGCTTTTCACTTGTTGATCGGACGCGCCCGATTTGATCGCTGGTACTAGATCTATCGAGATTTTCCGAATTGGTCACTCATCACGCATTCACGTCTCACGCATTCGTATCACACATTTACATCACACGGTCACGCTTTTCCCCGTCAATAACGTATCAATTCAAAATTTAAAAACGACCAAATTTACCGCCTTTTGCCAGGCATAAGTGTTGACACCTTTGACAACTTGATCTTTTCATTAAAGATTTAAATGGAATCTTGTGAATGGTCGGATATTCGGGATCAGAGCTCTCACATCACGGTACTTGTGCGTGAGCTGCGACCCCTACCAACAGGTCGTGAAATTGCATGTCACAGGTAGGATCTCGTGGTAAAAGTTGTTATGTGTCGCCATGTTCAACACGTTTCATCCCAACCTCTGAAATCACCTGATCATAAGAGCGGTCAGTGCCACGGGCCGCAGGCCACGCCAGTCAAGGCCAAATAGCGAGCCGCGGGAGCGACTCGAATCCAAATGCAGCTGCGGTGACATTGGGACGGGAATAGGCCTCGTGGAAGGAAGGCGGGATAAGATATGAGATGTGGTCAAGCGACGCTACGTAACAGCAGTTAGCACATTGATTAGACTAGACGCTGATGCGCACTGCCACTACGGGAGCCGTGGTGTACCAGAACATACCATAAAGAACAGCATCGTACGAGGAGGAGACGTTAATTCTTTCCTGAAGTACACAAATCTGAAAACGTTTCCCCGGGCGCGAGGATGCCCGTGAACGACGGCCGCGCCGAGTTATACGCAGGGGTGACGCAGCAGGGGTGAGGCAGAGGGGCAAGACTATGTCTTTGGCTGCACACTATTTTGTTACGTCTTGTTCGCCAAAACGGAATACTTTGTAGCATATCTTACCAAAATTCATATTAAAGAGGCCCCATAACTGAGCTTGGAGTTTTAGCTCGGGTTCATGAGATTCTTGTGCACCGAGAGATCCGCTATTTGGATTACGAGGCCTAACTTTTTGACAAGGAGGCCCTTTGCTGACTCGGGAGGCCCCCGTTAAAATTGGCAGTCTGCTTTTTTAGATTTTAAGGCACTTTTTACAGCAGCGAGCATTTATTCTGAACTAGGAGGACCCTCTCACGAAACCACTGTTCCAGACGAAGATGCCCTGTTTGAGGAAAATGAGTCTTCACCGCAGTTGGAGCCCCTCGTCGTGAATCGGAAGGATCCTGATCTGGATTAGGAGGCTATTCTATGCAGACATGTGCCTTGAGTCCGAAAGCCTATGGGATCCTGAATCCATCCGTGAATCCAGGCACCTGTGTTTGCTGCTCTGCATTAGGCCAAATTATTGAACACGAGGCTCTGTCTTGGGATAACGAGGCTCTTTGCTTGATCGGAAATCCCCTGTAGCAATCAGGAGGCTCCTGTTTGATATTTCTGAATGTTGGCCTCCACTGACATTAATATGGATGCATCTCTTTTAAAAATTACTCCGTCCAACCAACGGCGTGACCGCTTGTAATTTTAAAAGACCTTCGAATCCACTACCAGTCCACCAACGGCGTAACCGCTTGTAAAAGCTTACATGAAAGTCTATACATTTTGCAGTTTTGAGAAGCCTTCGAACCTGCAAGTCCGGCGATGCATTGCGTCCTGTCAAAGTGCGAGCCGCTCAGTATGACGCGTTGCGCGTGGCACGTGCCAACGTACCCCAGTGGTCTTACGTGGTCTAAACGTGCTCCAGTGGTCTAAAGGAAGCATTCCACATCTTATAGGTTTTTGAACTGAAATAGCCGTCTTGAAGGTCATTAGCTGCCGTTCACAGCCCTGACCTCCGTAAGACTTAAATTCCTCTGGTTTCTGAGCTGCACGCCCGCGAAGATGTGCAGACTATTTCGGGGAGACTATTGCAGGGTCGTCCAGGCGTCCATGACGCCATAACTTTATTCAAATCCTGCCGTTCCATTAGCCATGCGGCCATCAATGCAAAAAAATAATTGCAGAGTCGTTGGTATCTGACTTTCGTGAGCACGATTTCCAAATATAACGTCCGGCAATTGGATCCCGATGGTGTAAAAAATGTCCGCCTGTCCATCGGCCTGCCGCTGACAATAAATTGTCTGTGCCAAGGCCGTATTTCTGCAGCCGCATGCTTCTGTGACGTTCCTCCGCGCAACGAAAATAATTTTGCAGGCGTGCTATTGGGCTCTACGCGGCCGGAGGTCGTAGCAGAGCCGGAGGTCGTAGTAGCACGGGACAAAAACAATTCGAGCTAACGGCATGCAATCGTGACGTCACCCATTTGCTGTCCTGTGTGCAGATGGTCATGTGTTGTCAAGAGCAACGCGCACATTCACCACATTTGCGCGTATTGTGTGATGCCAATAACAGCGTAAGCCGTCACCGCCAGGTCTCCTTCGTGGTAGCCTGTAATGAACCTCTTTCGAGGATTCATGAGTAGTGTTGACGTGTTTTCGACCAACGAATGCCACTGAATGTCTTCATTCAAATTTGAATGCACGGTGCATAACGCCACTAACCAAGGTTGGGTCAAAAACGTCCAGGCGCGCAGCCAGAGCGTTGGCAGAAGGGAGGCACAGGGTTGGCAAAGGGTCGCATGATCGTAAAAAGCCCCACCCACCCCCCCCCCCCCCCGAAAAACCGCGGGATTTAGCCCATTTGTCAATAAGGGCGTACTTTTCATTGGTTTCCCCATTTTTCGCTTCTATCACTGGAAAAAGGCCGGGACCCACCACGAGATAAATTCTAACTCAACTTTGTATTTAATAAACTGAAGAAATCATGTGTTAAACAGTTGCATGAAATAAGTCGCCGTTGCTCTCTGCTTTACAATAGTTCAATGGACTCTTTTTACGTCGATAGAGCTCAGAAGCTTAGTCAGAATTTTTATCTGCGTTCTGTGGAGATATTCGCGCCCCGCAAATCTAGATTGTAGGTCGGAACGGGTTGACAATTTGCATTAACCTGGCTGGGCCATGTTTGCTTGGAAATGCTCAACGTTCAGTCGGAATCGATCATTGATATGAATTAGGTGCGTAGTTTTGAACTTGTGCGCTCGAAAATCTTAGAAACAAAAACCTTGACGTCAGGCGTCGCAGTTTCCATAGGCCACGCAGTGTCGGCCCCTCGGCTAATACTAACTCGCGGTCCACGGGTGCACAAAAAATGGTGACAAATATGAAAGAAGTGTCTTTGAACGTTTTAGGACATCAAACCACATATTTGGAAGTTAGTCCGGTCGTAAACTTCACCGGTGCGATTTTTAGATTGATGTTAGGAACGGATTGACGCCACAGCACCGCGAAGTGTTGCTGGCTGGAATCTGGTATTGGAACTGGAAGGGTAAATATAGAATCTCTATTTCTCCCGTTGCTATAACTTCATCTGAGGCGAGTACAACCTCAAAGTTATAAAAAAATGATGCGCCCAGTCTTATCTTAGAACCGTACGAATTCATTTTGAAACCAATGCGGAACCACCATTTCACGACGATCGTTTCCACGCAGGGACGTGTGGTATTACTCGCAGTGGCCAACGCCGTTCGGTTTTCGGAAACTGCAACCCGAACCATGGCTGTCCTTGCTCCCGAGATTTCGGGCGCGTGGCCTTAAACCTTTTGCTGTAATTTCTTTCACTTATCGCTTCTGCGAAAAAAGTTGTCGGGAAAACGTGGGATGGCTTTGTTCGTTTCGAACTCATTTAGACCACCCTTTTCAATAGTAATGAGATCCCCCGCTTAGTTCCGGGCAAGAGGGCCTTTGAGTGGAGCATTAGGGGGCACATAATTGTTTCCGGTCAGCAGCGGAAGGACCATTCCATGCCACCGCTGGGTGTCTTCCGGCTGTCATTCTGACGACACAGGGCAGGATCCCCTGGTCGATCCGGAGACCCTTAGAAGGATACATCATATAACATTGATCCCCTTTCTGACGTGGTAGGCCTTCTGACCCGCGCAGTTGACTTCGGATCTCCGATTTCGGGGATCCGGAGATCATATTGGTTCCCTCCCTGACGCGGGAGGACTTCTGACCCGCACAGTTGGCCCCGACTCGACGCAGGAACCATCATTGACACGACAACGCCCCTGATCACGGCAGGTGGTTCCATAATTGGCGCATGGATTCCAGTTCGGCTGAACGAGCCCGTGCTACAACTGGATTGGAGGGCCCACTGTTCGGTACTGGGGCCCCTGCTGGCACAGGACCCTTCCATTATCTCAATGTGTACACTGACGATAAGTTATAATGTTTCCTTTCATTGTAAGAGGGCCCGACCAACGGATCTCTACCACCACTGCTCAACCGCCAAACCACCACACACTACGCAAGTCCCAAACGCATTGCCAAACACCGGACTCGGGCTGAAGCAGAACGATAGAACACTGGCTGAAGTTCAGCAGAAGACAAAGTTGGCAGCAGTCCGTAGTTGTTGTAGGGCACTTGCACCACGATTGTGGGATATTTTCCAGCAGCCGGGTTCAAGCGGCGGGACATTTCAATACACGCTCGCGATCGGCCGTCTCGCTTGCGCCGCCGCGGCGTGGTTGCGGGAGATTGGTTCGGGTCGGCGGACGCAGGCGGTATGTGGACGATTTTGCCAATGGGCGGCCCATGTGCGGTGCCATGAACCCCCGGCTTTGACATGTCGCGCCCGCGCGTGAATGCTGGCAGGGAGGCGGGCCCTTGTCAACCGTTTGCCCCCCCCCCCCCCTCTCCGCACCTCTAACAAGGCTCCGGATGCGCCCCTGTTTGCACGGGTTGTGTGGGCTTTGCCTGGTATCCCAACAAGACGAGATTCTACGAACGGAATTAGGTCGGCTTCGGTTATGTTCCCGCAATTTTATGGCGATCACACGCGCATTGCGTTCTCTTGAGGATACAAATCAAGAGAAGAATCGTGATGACGACTACGGCGCAAGTGCGACAATACGGAAATGACCAAAACTTTTATTTGATGTCGAGTGGGAGGGTCGGGGTGGATCCAGCGGGGTCGGGCAGACGTTTCCCCCACTTGTTTCTATGAGAAACAAATAGGTAGGATAAAGGGAACCAGTATGCTGCAATGTCTGCCACGCTTGCTGTCATACTGGTCGCCTTATTTGGCTCATAATTGAGCTGGGTGCCCATGACGTGTGGCTGTCATGATGGGTTTGGCTCGTTTATTTGTATTTTCTTTAAGACATAACATTGTGCGAAATGAATTTTAGCAAAAGGTGCCTGTTGCTTGTGACTTGACTTGTGATTACTGAATTGTAGCCTTAATTAAGTAAAACGGGGACTTTTTAGTTCTCCTGTCAGCACATTTATGTGAACCATCACACTTGATAAATTGAGGACTGTAAGCAGATAGTGCTGACCTGCTTGCCACTGAATTCATGTAGGTTGGTTTTTAATGCTGATTTTTTTCAGGTACACACGGGGCTCCAACAAGAGGGCATGGCCAGGAACAGAAATGACTCCAGTGGAAGTGGAGGTGGACATTTTGTCCCTATTGATTCATACAGGAAGCAAATAGGTAACTTGGAATGAAGTTATTAATCTGTTATTTTGCCATTTAGTGCCAGTACTTTGTCTGTCATTTTAAAACTGGCTATAGACTGCATGCATTTAAATTGATGACTGAAGGCTTGTAACATTGCTGATAATTGGTAGGCCTATGGATTTAGGTGAATTATGTATATGTGATCACAGAGTTGTTGGTTTCTGTATGCTAATGCAATGCTTTCAGCAGCTTACAATATATGTGTTGTTGATGAACAAGTCTTCATTCAAGCCTTTTGAATGGATGAATTTTCTGTGGTCAGAGCTCATGCTAAGCACTGCTTGCCAACTTCTCCAAAATCCTGTCCTATGATTCATGACTAAGGCTGCTTAAGCTATTTATATAACTTGTGTTACTACTGCATGCTTGTCATAATAAGGATGTTTCACCCATCCCATTTCATATTTTATTTTCAGCAACCTCCCCACATTCTCATCACCATGAAAAGTTGGGAACCTGTCCAAAAGATGTGCAGACTGGAGATAGCCAGTTAAAAGGGCCAAGAGGGCTGAGAGAGTCAAGAACATTTGCTATCTGTGATAGTATAATATAGCTTTGTAGTAATGTATAGTAGCTGCCCTTCCTCATTGAACCACTATGAACTTACCCTTTGTCTGGAATGTTTTTACACTGCTGATTTCAAGGCTAGGTATTTCAAATGTTCTGTGCCAGCCCACAACCAGATAGCTTTTTTAATTTCTTGCCACTGCAGTACTGATGGCAGGCACCTAAATGTTCTTCAACCATTTATTGATCAAACCTTATGTTTGGGAATCATGTCCTGAAGGGCTTGATGTCCTGATTCTTGATGTCCTTGATGTCCTGTGCACTGATTCCACCTGAGATACGGCTCAGCTCACTGCCGGGTACTTAGTTGTTTATTCCTTTCCTTTGTTGTTCAAGCTACAGTGTGTACACAGCCCAAGCCACACCTGAATGTGTCTTGGGCTGCACACTCCACCTGACACTACACATGGGGCTTACAGTTGCTGCAACACTCAAAAGGTTGTTGACCTGTTTTTGCTTGTTTGTAGTCAACAGCTACCTTCTTATCTCCTACCTCCAGCATAGACTACAACTGATGTAGTTATTTTCCTGGCACACAACATGTGATACTAGTACAGGTGAAACTAGTACATTTCATTAGGCATGCGGCAATCAAGGTCAATTAAAATATAATTGCCGACTCATGGACATCTGGCGTTAGTGAGAATTATTTCCAGATATAACGGCCGTCAATTGACTCTTAATCAATGATGTGCAAAGTGCGATAATTTTTTTATCAAAGTACGATTGCTTTTTTCATTGTTATCAAACAATCACGTATTGAGGAGCATATTAATTAAACAGAGACTTTGTGTTGACGTTGTCAAATAATGACGTAGTGAGGAGCATATTAACTCATCGGAGAAATTGCGTTGTCTAGAACAGTCCTTTCCACTTAAAGTATGCCAATAGTTGCAAGTGAGCTTATTTCATCAAATCTGATGGTTGCCTCAGTGTCTTCAAATATGGGGCGTTCCCTTTCCTTTGAACACAGATACAGGGGCTAGTAAGAGCTGCGCGCGTGGGTGCGAGCGTGCCACGTAGTGGCCTTCCAATCTCCGGACGGATGAATGAATTAAGGCTCTTTGCGTCGACATGCCTTAATGCTACACCGGGGGGGGGGGGGGACACAGCCACATTACAAAGGGAGTCAGCTTATGGAAATCAGCCTCCGGAGATGCAACTTTCAAATGTAACGTAGGTATGGTCAACAGATGGCTCGATGTCAGTTCATTGCTTTTCCATGGAGTGCTGGGCATGTCAGTTCAGTGCCTTTGCTGATCGATCATGCTATAAGGCTTCCACAATATGCAACCTTACTCCATCTGTAGCCCGATCCCATATGTCCTGTCTTTTCTTGCCTTGCCACCCGAAGAAGCACGGGCATGCTTGCGAGGCCGAAGCACGAGCATGCTTGCGAGGCCGAGGCACGAGCATGCTTGCGAGGCCGAGGCACGAACATGCTTGCGAGGCCGAGGCACGAGAATGCTTGCGAGGCCGAGCTCTTAGCATGAGATGTCATGGGTACTGCAGAGGCGATTGACTGGCGCGACCATCAGGTCGTCTCGGGGCGCAGCTGAAACATCGAAATGCACCGCTACGCTGAGACCGGAATCTCGTGTACCCTGTTGTACTTCAGCGTGCAAGAGTTCCCCAGTTGTAGACGTATTTGAGTGGTTTTCGTAGACATCTCAGAATTAAATTGCACACGGACGTTTTTCAGGAAGGCAGAACTCCAAGAATGCAAGAGAAGACATCAAGCGTGCAAAATTGTCACACCAGAAAAAAGAAAATGCTACTCAAACATATAAGGTAATTTGATTCGTCTGCTAGTCCTCCGTTTTTGTCTCCTACAGCCTCCCTTGACCATCAACCTTGGAGTATTGCTTGTAGTAGTGATAGCAGGATACATGAGCTCGGCCAGTCGGGCAGGCTCTGCTCTAACTCACAGTAGGCAGATTCATTTTGTCTCCGACTCTATCTGGCTTATTAGTTGAAATCAACTCTACACCGAACTGGTTAGGTAAGAATGAATTAAGTTGACTTACTGAATGTAATTCACGTTAGAAGTGACACGAGGTGAATTGAAAACACCTGGTTGTTTTGGTATATATATATATATATATATATATATATATATATATATATATATATATATATATATACATATATATATGTATGTACAGTGTTGTGCATATCTTACAATTGAAATGGCTCCATCCTGGCTGTGGGTATGATAGGTGACTTTTAAATTGGTAAATGGACATGTTTATTATCCAAGTTCACATCTCCACCATCGCGCACATTGTTTCACATTGATGTTCGACCTATACATTGGGGATATATTGCGAAAAGCCTCTTACCCCAGGATTCCATCAAATGCATGTATGTGCGCATGCGTACATGTATTGGGCTGTATACCGATGCGGCGGGCCGTTATCGTATCGTTATCGTTATGCGCGTCATCGGAATGTGAGACCCTCGTGCTGCTTGCGTTGCGGCACTAATGTCTCAGATGATGACCCGGCGGCCAATGACCCCCATCGACAGTTATTTTACCGCGTCTTCATGTGAGGTTGCGGACATGTCCCTGCGATTTGTGTTTTTAAGTTTTTTCTGATCTGTAAGCTGTTTGCGCACTAGCGAGGAACATTATTCATATAGATAAGACAGAAGTCATAGCCTTGTTTCTCGGTGTTCATTTCTGCTATTGTTTCGGTAAAGGCATGTTACCGAAATATTAGCCCAACTGTATTTCCATTCCTCTGTTTTTTTTTCTCGAAAAATAAGGCTATGACTACTGTCTTATCTTTGTTCTGATCTGGCTAATTTGTGTTTTGAAAATGTAAGCGTGTTTCTCCTATTGGCTCCCCGTGCTGGCGCGTCACGTGAGCTTGGCGATGCCTTTGCTGCATGCGACCACTGATTGGTGCAGTGCGCTTACCATGTGTGTTTGCTTTTAGGACGTCTTTTCGATGGTGTTCGGCCTGTTCATCATGGTGGTATCGGTTTATGCGCTATTCTACGCTCTTCTTTCCAAGTAAAATTTGGTTGCGTGGTGTCTGCTTTGGCGGCTCGGGAAATGCATTGAGTTTGTGCAACGCCCATGAAAAGCGGGTTTTGGTCAGTTTGTTGTTTCTTGGCGGTTCAGAGATGGGGCGTTTTGAAGGTGTTGCTTGTTCGCGGACCGATGGTGGGATGATTCCCTGTGCTACAAAAATAGAAGGTATGTGGATGGAATGTCCACCAGATGCGTGTGTCTGATGTCTAATGCCCAATAGGCATCAAACTGGCTAAATATCGACTGTGATGCTAACGAGCCTATGCCAGCTTGTAAATCCATCAGCCTCCTGAGCGTGGGGCAATATTGTAACAGGCTGGTACAACATTGGGTCCATTGATGTGTTGTGCACTTGCGCACTGGTCTCGATGTCAAGTCTTTTTGAATGTTTGTGTACCTGTGCATTGGCTTATTTTCTACTGGTTATGATTAGTGATATTACAAGGGGCTGTTTGGTTTGCTTGCTTAAACAAGCGCTCCGAAGAATGTAGTCATTGACCCAAGCTTGTCGGAGCAAACATTGTATCTAACTACTCATTGTGACATTAATGTTATCGCAGATCTTGTAAACTTTGTAGAGGGGCATTCCGCTATAGGGTAATTAATTTTGTGATATTTTGGTTTATGCTGTGTTGCTGTTCTTATGCGACTGGCTTCCGCTCATCTGTGCATTGCTGAGTTTAATAAAACATCAACGCAACGCACGTTGCATAACGTATGTTGTGTATTTTGTGTCCGGAATATTGAATGCATTCGTTCACGCGGCCCCAGACATGCAATTCTTCTTTAGGTGCAGACGTTTATCTTAGATATCCCTGAAGACGTGGGTCTGAACATATCCATGCTGGCAGCCTTCCGTACATTCGCGTCAGCATGGCCAGCGCTCACTTGTCCGGTGCATGGTACACGATCTGTGCACGTGCATCACTTGACATTTCACGCCACCGCCAGTCTGACCCGTACAGGCCAAGGAAACAGTGGTATGTGCGGGATTTCGCGACGGGGCGGGAGGCGCGACACAAGGTTTTCACTGAAAGCCCAGTCCAGCACGCGTAAATGCGCGCAGCTTGTTGATCGATAAACATGTATATATATATATATATATATATATATATATATATATTTATATGCTTATATATGTCTTCATGCCGGCCCGGAATGAGTTAACGATGGTTTGAGTACATATGAATGCATGCAATCATTTGTATGCGGGGAACACGTGCCTCACGTGAGCACGTGGAATGGTAAGCGGTGTCATTCGGAACAAATGATCGAAATTAGATAAAAAAAGGAAAATATCAGCCGATGTTTGATTCAAAACATCCATCCTTCGCACTATTGACTTGTGAAACAGAACATCAATAATCTTGATTCCGCACGTGTGTTTAAAAGCGAGAACAACTAAGGTCGGGTTTGCACTTTCCTTAAAACCGAACAGCGTTGGACGTTAGCGGCCGCAGATCACTCCCGGCGGCGAGCCAGGGGCGGAGCTAGCCTGGAGTCGTTTTTTTTGGAGGGGGGAGGGGGGCAACCGTTCGTCGCCAGCTGGCTGGTGTAGGATCTGAGGTCCAGTGCATGGTGCCTCTCGCAAGTACCTAGTAGGGACACCACTCAAGACCGAAAAACACCGAAATGCTTTTGAATCTTAAACAGAAGTTTAAACAAAACAGTTAAAACAGTTAAAGTTAAAACACACGGTAAGTAGACGAAAGTTTTATGAAGTTCTGTGAATGTTTTGGGGGTGGGGCAGCACATACTCCCAGAGGTTTTGGGGGGCCATGGCCTCGTGGCCCCTCATGATCCGCCTATCGGCGAGCACGGGCGCACGCGAGACCGACGTCGTGAAATAATGTCTCGTAAATTCTCCGTCAATTTATGCTGTTCTTTTAGTAGCCTGAGTCGTCCATTTCATATTTATGGTTTCTAGGTTGCACTCGGAACACATAAATATTTATAGCAACACTCAGAACGAGGGTATTGCAGTCTTACTCTTCCAGTTCTGCCACCAAACTCCGGCACCAGTTCGCGTTGTAAATGCTAAAGCCGTTCCCATCTTCATAAAAAATCGCACGGATGACACGACCCGATTACCACCTTTTACACGTGCGAATTGATGGTCTTAGGCATTCAAAGATGCTTGTAGATGCGCCGCCATTTTTGTTCACCCGTTGGCCACTGCCTGTGCGTCGTGCTAGCCACGGGGCCAACGCAATGTCGGCCGTTCGTTGTTTGTATCTAAGACTTGCGAGAGCGGATGCTCAAAATTATGTTGCACAGTTTATATCACTAAGCGATTCTGACTGGAGACTATACATTCCTGCACACTGGGATGCAGATTGGTCTTGTTAATTGGAATCCTTAAGTCCATTCCAATCTACAAGTTATGTTCCGGGGCTCTCAGCATTGCTGTAGAACCCAGGAAAGGGTTCTGGGAAAACCGCTCAGCTTTATCGATTAAAGCTAAGCCCACTGAATCGCTTTAAAACAAACATCCTAATTTTTTTCCTTCCGCTCATTTCCTTGTTAAGGTTTAAGGTTAAGGAAATTTTTACATTTTGGTATCTACCGGCTTCTGTTCAAGCACGGGAAGGAAAATCTAAAAATGACGCGTAGAAAATCGCACCCTTTCGAAAACAAGTCGGCCATATCCGGCGCGGCTCTGGCTGCACCCCGGCTTGCGATCGAGTGCTTTAAAGTGCTCGCATCAGCGGTTATGCATGGTATGGTTAAAATGTGCGCAACTTTGCATGCAATTCCTTGCAACCTTCTTGTGCACTGTCGTAATTTCCAGTTCGTGACCTGTTAATCCATGCAATAAAATCGTGGTTTAGCATCACAATGCTGCTCATTTAATATCTTCTGGAATATTGCAGGCCGCTTATCCAACATAAGAACTTTCGACTCATAATGCTAAAAACCACGGGCTGAAGACATTTTAAAGGCCGTATTACAACGAGATTCACCCGTAGTGTGGCACGCAGTAGTTGCACCACACCCGAGGAATTGCACCACGCTTGTGGTGTACCTTTAGGCGGCCATATTTAAATAATTCTGCATTTCGATATACACCTTTGGGGCGCTGGAATCACAACTGCCGACAATCTAAATTCGAAACATGATTTAAAAATGACTTCGGCATCAGTTTTTTTCTTAAATTGAAGACAGTAACGGGAACAATAATGGAATAGTGCTGTCCGGATTTGGCACTATTTTTGAAATCAGCTGAGGGTCCTCGCGCCATTTTCTGGACGCGCTGGCACACGTGCGTGGACTGTGCTGTTGGAGGGTTGTGTAGGTCTGAGTCTGTAGGTCGGAGGTCTGCCACGTTGTTTGCGACTTTTTAATCAGTGCGTTGAGCGCAAGATCTGCTCAAGCTGGAAACTGAGCAAAAAGCGCGCATTTTTTCTACGGAAATATCGGAATGTTCGCCAGCGACAGCAATCATGCGTTTGTGCTAAGCTGAGAGGAAGGTCAAGTTCTGTTGATTGAAGAGGATAGGAACGGAACATTGTCATCATGCTGGTATGCGGAGATCCGCAGCATGCTGAGTCCAGGTTTAAGGATACAAGTATCCTTTCTCTCCCATCAGAAATTTTGGAACTGATTTGCAGCTATCTGGAGCTATCTGATGTGTTTTCCTTTCTGCAAGTCTGCAAGCGTTTTAATGAAGTGGAGTCTTCAGATACAGTCTGGAGGAGGGCCATGTTTAACTCGTAAGTAGTTCTAGCTGTTATTTAGTTTTGTTTCATGAAGGTTTGGGGATAGTACTTTGCTATTTTTGCAGCAAGAAGGTGTGAATGTTGTGTCGCCTCACACATGTGCTTGGTTATGCGATGGTTATCCTTCATACCCCACTGTGTGTGATCATCCTAAATTCTGCTAAAGTTGGCCAAGTGGGCTGAAACATGTCCATATATTTCTGAGTACCGTGAAACAAAATTAGTTCCATCAGCATCAACTCTTGGCTTAGGAATTTTTAAAGTCTGTGACAGTCTGAATGTGTCATCATATGAAATCTGGTGTTGTGAAGATAAGCTCTCTGCTACAACCCAATGATTGCTGGGATGTATACCCTATTTTGTGTTTCAGCATGGAGCATATATTATCCTTACCTTACATCCTACCCCACAGTGGTCATTAATTTTAAAAGGCCATTTAGCCTGTCTGTCCTAGGCTCTTCAAGTTCTGATTCAGGTAAACAGACAAATCAGGGGTGTGATGGCATGGAATATGATGTAAAGGATGTCTGCCCAGTGCATGTCCTCCAGCACACCCAGTGCATATCATACAGTGCATAACAAGCCCATATTTAAAATTGTTCCTGTGAGGGCCACACTACCGCATGCTGAAGAATGTTCCAGTTATTGATACATTTGTTTAGTGAGTTTCAGCAGACAATAGATTTAGGCCAAGGTTTTCTTAGTTTCCACTGGTGTTTTCTTGTCACATCCTGCTCTTGTCATTAACATGTGCATTAATTGGCTTAGAACAGAAAAGGTTAATAAACACAACAGGCAGAAGGTGGAGATTTTGCTTTCTGATGGGTTGGTGGACAGCCGCTAAATGTAATATCTTAGTATGGTAGGAGTATGCCAGAAGTGTGATGTTGCACACCAGTGGAATAACTTGCATTACATTAAGGTAGGTAGGTAAGGTTAGCTTGGTTTGGTTTTGTTACATTTTGTTACATTATGCTGTGTGTCTCATGATTTTCAAAACAGCGATTTCAGTGAAAAAGGAATGCAAATGTGGAGCACCCTCTTTAAACACATCTCATGTTATCCTCATTCTTGCATCTTACATATCTGGTGACTTACGGCAGCAGTAGGCTGAATTGTTAGTGCCGTGTTCTTGCTAGTTTTATTCAACACCATAGAAAGACAATATTGTATGGCTCTGTGATGGTATAAGAATTGGGTCCATGATATATGAACATCAGTTCATAATCATGGCTGCTATAATCAGGAAAAATTTGCCATGGGTGCAGTCATTGTAATTGCCTGATTGTTCAATGACTATTTTTTCTATTTTTTTGCTGTAAAGAGGGCAGTTAACATGCAATATGTTCTTGAAAAGTGCAGTGAACATCTTGAAGATAGCCAAATTTAGTTTTTTTAGGGAATGGGGCACACATAAAATGCTCTTGCTCACCTTCCCCCAAAGAAGATCAGTTGCAGTAAGCTGAAGCACTTATTGCCTGCTAGTTTTCACTAGTCAATACCAATGGCTGATTACAGCTGTCTGAGAAAGGATGCCTGGATCACAAGCCATGGCCTTTGGTCAAAGGGCGCTGGCTGATACATTCATTTCTCTGAAACTCATTGCAAAAATGCCACATATTTTGGATCACAGGATGTGGGATCATAGATGACTGCAGAAGTTCAACAATTAGCCACAGCCCACAGGGTTCCACTAAGTTGCAGTATTCCCTGCCTGGGCACACTGCACAACAAAACATATAGAATTGTTCAGTTGAAAAATATTCTGGTTTTAAAGCAATATGCCTGATTTAGCTTGTATTCTTGACATTTTCAAAAGCCATTCCCCTTTCCATGAAGTGCCTGTTATTACTGCTTTTGTAAACTAAAGAGAGCTTATGGTGGTTCCCTCATCAAAGAGCTTGTTGCAATCATCAGCACCTGCTGCAGCACCACAAAAGTATCCAAACAACTTCTTGAATGCTGCATAACCAAAGCTCGTCAGCCAGTGTGCGGT